GGTATTGTGTGGATTTATTTATTATCTCGGCAGCTTTATAAAGGCCTAATATATATTGTATTATTCTGTTCGGTGTTTACCAAAGAGTAGCTAATGTTTTATGTAATTGAGATTAAAATGATATTTATTCAGCCTGAAGGTGCGTGAATCCCATCATTCGTATCCGTTGCGAAATGAAGAGATAATTGGACTGAGAGATAAGCCACACAGTGCTGGTCGTCAACTTAGACTGAATTAGTAGAGAACTATTTCTTTAGCACTGATGTGCTAGAAAGATGATTGAAATGACACCATTAGCCGTTGCTGCTACTGTACTCTATAAATAATACAATTATTGTCGCTAGCTAGTGCGATATTTTTCGGTGATTTCGAACCTAATCACTAGACTGGGTCTAATGAAGCGTGGTAAGCACTAACTGTGAGCTAAGATAAACACAGGAAAAAACAAGAATGACTCTTAACTCATTCGAATTGTCGGTAGGTACTTTTCGTACTAGTGTACCCAATTATATAGAAATAACTAAACTAGGTTTTGGTAAGTGTCAAATGCGGATTCAAGGGAAATTAGCAGCTGGCCAGTGCCCCCACCTACATCATATTTTTTTTAAAGGTAATTAATTAATTATATGCAATCAAATTTAAATTTCAGAATGAAATTTTCGGCCATGGTGCCATAGAAATGTTAACCTGAAACTAATATCGGCCAGGTGCCATAGAAATTTTAACCATGAAACCGAAATGACACTCAGTTTCATTTCTGGATCCCCTCTATTTCGAATTCTTGTTGCTACAGTAACTAGTAGTAGGCCTACATTGTTAATAACGTTGCGAACTCTTGGTAATTTTATGAATTTTCGAGCTTAGCATGGTTATGTTATTTAGAGGTGTTAACGCTAATTACAGTACACGACCATATTGAGCTATATCTAATACGATATTATTATTTATTATGCATAATCCAATAATAACCACAGTCACCGCATACCCTATAACCCCTCTGGCGTTCGTGTTCACAACGTAACCACGTCGGTTCAGTAGGTATAAACAGTAAATACATGCGTGGCGTAACAACTATGTCCATGAGGATTCCGGCCCGTTGCCGCCGGGGCTGTTGCCACCTAGGCCAATTGCAAGCATTTTGACCCGGCATTTTGCCACCGGGCCATTTGCCACCCGGCCTTTTGCTACCCTAAGCCCGCCACGGAGTCCTGTTGTCACCCGGCCTTTTACAAACTAGACCCGTTGCCACCCGACCTTTTACAATCTAGGCCTGTTGTCACCCAAAGCTCTTTGCCACCAAGGCCCGTTGCCACCGGCCTTTTACCTTCTAGGTCCGTTACCACCAGGCCTCTTGCCATCTAGGCTCTTTGCCACCAGGCGTTTGTCCCTCTGTGTCTGTTGCCACCCTGCCTTTTGCGGTATAGGCCTATTTACAATTAGTTTATTTTTTTTACCTGAATTTTATGTAGGCCTATATATTTCATACATTAAGGGTCCCATCAGTTCATCAGTGTTTTTTGTTGCCGAAAATCTGCCTTTTAAAGGCATAAAAAAGAACGTCAAAGCCAGCGGACTTTGCTCCATACCCCCGCTGTGATGT